CATTCTTTTGGGAATTATATTCCTCCTCCAGTTCTGTAAGGAAGAAGTCATACTCCCATACCTTTGAATTGGCCACACTTTCACATTGTTGCATGTTGGTGTGGCACCTTGTTGCACACTGTGCAGTACCCCTTTACCATTGTGCATGTCATGAAACACCAACATTAGGATGCACATGTTACATGTTGCCTTCAGGATATATTGTGCAAAATCTTTGGAGATGACTGCTGTATCGTGTTTCACATTCTGGAATTCCACAGCAGTATATGAGTATGTAACTGACAGAGTTTTATGTTTTTAGAAATCCATGTTATGATCTAATTTCATTTGTATTGTTTTAGGTCCCCAGTTACAGCTTCATACTCCCTGGCACATCCGATCTTAGCACATCATTCTAATGTTTTGAAATTTAGAACTTCACAGCCATCTCAGTCGATTAAAAATAACAGATTTTATGTGCTTTGTATAAGGTGCTGGCACATGTGTATTTTTAATAAGTTCATCAAAGCGGTAGCATAGTTGGTTGAGGCACCATGCTACAAGCTGGAAGATTGCAGGTTCAAGTCCTGATGAGGTGGATTTTTTCAATTTACCTAATCCTTCCAGTTGCACTATGGCCCTGGGTTCAACTCAGCCTCTAGTAGAAATGAGTACCAGGGATAAAGGGCAGCCAGTGTGTAATGCTGACAATCGTACTGCCATCTGTGAGCCAGTTGTGTAGAGAAAACGTTTGATCCTTGATGTCTCACAACCCGATGGGCCTTCAGTGCCTGTTACAGGGATAGGTATACATTTTACTTAGAAATAGTAGAACAAATTTATGTTTGTTACTAACTGACGAATCAGCCATTGGGCCCACAGTTCCCACAGTAAGTGCACTGGTGGGATGGGGGAGTGTATGCACACTGAAAATGTTATTTCCCAATAGGAGACTGTTTATTTTGTTGGTCAAAATTTGGCATGTTTTATTTCAATATTTAATTATTCTGTGTGATGGCTTTGTCTCTTTCCCAGGAATGAATTACTGGGAGTTGCATTACTGTACTCTTATACATTACCTAATAAAACCAGATATATATATTCTCTAAGAATAAATAGGGTTATCTTTACATGTATTTAGTTCAAGCATGTCTAAAGAGAGTTGTTATATGGGTTCATTTTTATGTTCTGAAGTTCTGTCGACCCAAATGTTGCCTTGTTTAAGTTCTCTCTCTCAAGGTATGCTGAACAGAAGTATTTTTGAGTAGTAATTAGTTTCCAAAATAACTTTCAGAAACTGGACAGCGTGCAGCATGCATTCGACACAGTATTTTTCTTGGTTTCTGCTTTCAAGGTTTTGGGACTGGAGTCAGAGCTGCAACATGAGTATAGTTGGTGTGTTATGCCTTTTGAGCTCAGGAAGGATGTTATTTTCAGCTTAAGGTGTTTTTAACATCCCGTGATATGCCAAAATATCCATTTTTCTTCATTTTTTTCCTCTTTTTTCTGTGTTGTTCCATGGGTAGCGTTGCGCCTAGCCTAGCCCTGGTGTTTTCAGCGAAGCGGGCGAACCAATCAGGGGCCAACATGACCCTGACCGCCTGCTACCCCTTGCGGTAAAGGTCAACTTTAGCCTCGTGTCACCATACACAAAATGCGTGAAGCACCAAATTATTTTTGTTTTGGTGTCCATGTCATTAGGCCTCTTACCTGCCTTTATTTCACTTTTCAGAAACTGCATAAGTTGCAATTAATTTCATCGATGTTTTCATAACAGATTTCAGTAGTATATAAAAGAAACCCTAACATCAATTTTCCACCAGTGTTCAAAATATCACATCTTACTATATTGTTTGTTGGTGCAGGTTGTGTTTCAGAGTTAGGCAGTGTGAAATTCTACCCAAATCAAAATTAGTTTGGTGCAGAAATCTGAACTTATTACCCTTACCACGATCCACCATTCCCTTACATTTGTCAATGTCATAGTTGTCTGTTGCCTCATGTACTCTCCATAGGATCCCTGTGCCTGCAGAGTGGTCTTACCCTTGTTTTCTTATCACTATGTTGATTCGCTTAAGGTTTTAAATCTGATTCTGTATTACTTTGAATTGATATTCAGTTGTCACTTTGCTTTCATTGCTATAAACTAGTTAAAAAATAATTCCGTATGACAAATAGAGCCATTTCTTCAGCAAGGCTGTTGTCACTTTACTGTTTATGTTGGACCAACTCTGGATATTAACGAGAGTACAAAGGCATGTATTATGGTCGGTTTTTATTAACCAGCAAGCAATTTTTATAATGTATCAGAGTTAACTCCTAGAATTTTAAAGTAGAGGATAGCAGTTACTGAATTCTTGCATACCTCAGAATGGAGATTGGTTTTCCCTCCTCAGTTCTTACTGTGTTCATTACTATTTTTCCTATAAAAAACTTGTTAGAATAGTAAATATCGCCAAACCCCGGAAGAACCTGTGAACCATTCCACTGTCTTGGGTTATTTTCTCATTTTTTACTGTGTTTTGAAAGGCAAGTTCAGGTCACAGTGTCCTAACCTGTCATCATTGCTTCAGCTTATATTTTAAAGTTAATACGAATTTGCGCAGTTTTTTGGTAGTAAGGTTGTGGCTTTTTGTACAAAAATAATGATGACCACCTTTAATTTTGTGAACAGAAAGTTCTAAGACTGCATTTAGAAATACTGTTAGCGAAAAAATCAGATATAAGTAGCACGGTCAGTTCAGTCTGTAAAATTAAGAGGATGTGTATACTTTATTGAGCCAACTTTCATGTACGTATATACTGATTATATGATTATAGTGTAAAATCTCAGAACTATATTTTCCTGCTCTTGAAAACGTCACAGTACTACTGATCATGGTTTTTAGTCTTTCTACATAACAATTGTACTTCTTCTTTTGCATGGTTCAGATTTTACATTAATGAAGATTCTGCCACCTAATATACAGGAGTCTGTTGTGAAGTATTACCATAGTTAGTGATTTTTAACCGGGGTTCTAGTCAGAAGTTGTGTTATTCTTGAACACATTTATAATAATTTTCATGTAACAGTTATTAACTTCAAATGTTATGAACTTGATATAACCTTTATCATACAACATTTAAATCTGCTTATGGGGAAACATCCTCCATATCACTTAAAATTTACATAATTTCATCATACATTTATAGCTGACTCCCACTAGGAAGTTGGGAGGCTGGAGTTTTGGGTTGTAGATTTTAATTTTAAAATATTTCACTTTGTGAACTGGGCTAATTCAGTCAGTATAGTGATAGACTGTGGGCTTGATGACTGAGGAATCAAGTGTTTGATTCCTGGTGAAGGCAAGAGATTTTCTCTTCTACACAATGTGCAGACTGACCATGGGGTCCACCCAACCTCCTGTCCAATGGGTACCATGGCTCTTTCCCTGGGGGGAGGGGTTTAAGGTGGCAAGAGTTCTGAAGCTGACCACTCGTCTCCATCTAGTACCAAGGTTAAGAATGCGCGACCTGTACCTCCACTGTCCCATACATCTTCAAGGTGTGTTTAATTAATGAAGCACAGGAAGGGCTTAACCTTTTGGAAACAGAACAGAAAGTCTTTAATATTGTTTTATGCTTTAATGTATTCTTTTTCAGTATCAATGTTGACATTACAAATTTTGTGCTTCTTTAAAATCCTTGAATAATTGTACTATTATGGTGGGCAGGTTTTCCAATCTATGGGAGAACTGTCACCTGAGAGTGGAAACAAGTATAGCTGTAAACTGATGTGAAAGCCATACTCTTTCTATAATATCACTTCATTATCATGTATCAAATATTCTTTTGAAAACAAGTGACTGAATTGCAGTATGTGGTTCATTATCATGTTTAAAATAAAATACTTCTCTCTACATAAGGAGGCAAACAGGAAGGATCTTGTATAAATATATAAAATTCTTTAATGCAGAAATGTCCTTCCTGTATTTCACTCCTTTGGTTTTGTGTGCTAGGTGATAGTAACTAGTTCTATAGTGTAAAGGCCTCCCTTTTAACCACTGTCTCATTGGTTGGCAACCATTTCATTTATAAAATTATCGTAGTGTCATGGTAATAAGTAGGAAAAAATTTAAAGCAGGAGAATATTAAGGAATTTTACTTTAAGAGAAGCCTGATGAACAGGCACTTCAGTACTATACAGTACAGCACAGCTTACCAAATACCAACTCAGAATACCATTCCATTGCCATGTTTGTAATTTTCAGCAGACGACAGACATTGGCTTCCCACTGTGGTGGTCTGAGTTCACTCCCAGGTCAGGTCGTGTGATTTATGGTGAACAGTTTGGCAATTGGGCAAGTTTTCTCTTGGGTACTTCAGTTACCCCCTCCAATTCCATGGAACCAAGTCATCCTTGAGAAGCTACCAGTTGCTCAGCTACTTCAGAATTTCCAAACATTTTATGGAACCCAAGGGCGCATTGCTGTGTTTACAAGTGCCCACCACTAGTCTGTATCCTGAGCTGGATGAATCCTATCCATACCAGCCCATCCTATTTGTCTAAGATGCATTTGAATATTATCCTCCCCCCTTCATCTTCCTAGTGGTTCTTTTCTTTTGCCTTACCCATTAACATCCTGTATGCACTCCTCTCCCATGTGTGCACATGCTTTTCCCAACTCACCTTCGAATAGATCATTCTAATTATATTTGGTGAAGTGTACGTGTTACGAAGCTCCTAAGAATGCCTTGCAGTTCAGAAACAATGCTTTGTTACTGAACAACTGTTTTATTTATACAGTACATCGCAAGTATCATATATTTGCTTGGAACATACTCCAAAGATCGTAGTAAGTCCCTGGGGCTGTAACTAATCTCCATGGTTTATTGAACTGTACAGAAGTAATATACTTTTCATGTTTATATACAATAAAGTATAATGTTTTCTTAAAGAAAATTGCTTGGTGGCTAGATAGATTGTGTGTTCATTTTGCTATATAGTATGTTCCTTGATTTCAGTTTTGCCTTTGTTTTAGGAGATGCCCAGCAGCCACCGTCTCCTGCACAACCATTACATTCAGCCTCAGAGTTTTTGCCGGGTCCAATATACAATTTAGCACAGTCAGGACCTCTTGTGGCAGGTAAAAAGAAAGTAAAGCTATCCCTGTGACAGGCTCTGGCAGCCCATAGGGTTGTGAGATGTTCAGGTTCCCACATTTTCTAGACAGTTGGCTTATAGATGGTGGTAAGGTTGCCACCCCTGTGTGCTGGCTGCCCTTTAACCCCAAGAGTATTCCTGGTTCTCATTTTTGTTAGAGACCGAGTCTGGCTGGGATTAGGTAAATTGAAAAAAAAAATCCACCTCATCAGGATTTGATCCCGTGACCTTCCGACTTGTAACATATTGCCTCAACCAACTATGCTACCATGTGCCCCTTCTTGTGGCAGGTGAAACTATAAATATAGGAACCCATTTTAGGCATATTCTTTGTAGAGTGTAGTTGATGTGTTACATGGAATACAAATCCTATGCCAGATAGTCATCATATAAATCCTGTTGTAAGCCATGATATCACAAATGCTACGCAACAGTAATATCTACTAATATAAACAAAGACAAATCGATACTGATGTATCACCATTCGTTTATTGTGCAAAGGTGTTCCGCTACTTGTTTTGACCTTCAAGATGTCATTGTCAGGCATACTTATAAGAATTCAGTCTTAGTTCTTCAGTTGTATTTTAATATGGATCAATATTATTACAATTTGTTTTATTTCTGATAGTGAATATTACCTAATTGTTAAATATGGCTAATAAATATACACTAGAAATACTATAGAGTATTTGTAGTCTGCATTTATTAGGTATATTTAACAATAAACTAGTGTTTGCTATTAAAAATAAAGCAAATTGTAATAATATGTGTCCATATTAAAATACAATTCAAGAACTGAGACAGAATTCTTGTAAGCACACCTGACTGTCATCTCTTGAAGGTCAAAACTGTAATTTCACTAGGAATGGAAGTGAAGAGAGAGAGGGCAAAGAAAACTCTAAAGTTAGCCCAGACTCAACATTTGAACAATGTCCTTAAGAGATTTAATATTCCTAATGAGACTAAACCACTTAGTCATCCAATAGAACCAAATAGCAAATTGAAACAGTTGCCTAAATCAGATAAATCGATGGAGAATCTAGATGATGTGCCATATCAACGAGCTGTAGGTTCAGTGATGTATTTAGCGGTATGCACGCGCCCTGATATGTCTTTTGCTATGACTTACTTGAGCCAATTAAACACTTGTTTCATGAGAGAGCACTGGGTTTTGTTAAAAAGAGTTCTAAAGTACCTAAATACTACACAGGATCTGAGTATTGTATATTCTCAGAATAATGATCAATTGGAAGGTTTTTCCGATGCAGGCTGGGGTGGAAATTTAGATCGTAGATCCTTTAGTGGATCTGTGTTCAAACTATCAGGAGCAGCTATCAGTTGGCGATGTAAAAAACAAATGGCTGTAGCTCTGTCAACCACAGAAGCAGAATATATGGCATTATCAGAGACCGCAAAAGAAGGCCATTTTCTTGAGAAAATTATGGTTTGAAATATGTAACAAGGAAACCACTATTCCTGTATCTTGTGATAATTGTGGTGCTTTAACCATAGCGAAAAATCCTGTCAATAATGACCGAACAAAACATATTGACACAAGAGTTCATTTTGTAAGAGAGAGGGTTGAATCAAAGGAATTGTCAGTACATTACATTCCTGGAAATCAGTTAGTCGCTGATGATTGCATGAGAGGTTTAAATGTACGGAAACATACTGATTTTATTAATTCACTTGGATTGTGCTAAGAATAATGTTTCCAAATGATGTTCTAAATAATAATTTTTTGATCTATTGATTAATGGATAAGTATTTTTTAAACTCCCAAAATTGTTTAAGGGGGAGTGTTATGTTGGCAACTCTCTAATGTTAAAATATAATGCTAGAGTTGGCAACATCGTAACAGAAAAACTTTGCACAATTAAAGAATGGTGATATATTAGTATTGATTTGTCTTTGTTTACATTCGTAGATGTTGTGTGGACGGCCTCATTTGTGATACCCCAGATAGTGCTGCCTAAAATCTATGTGCACCTTACAGTCAGAAAGTATAGCAGCTCTTTCACCTAAAATTTTACCTCTTAATTTCTGGGTGTATATTGTAGCCCAGAGAATACTGTAGGTTAAATCGTGCACAAAGAAAATATTAACGATGAATAAATTTTCACTCCCTGTTAGGCTGTGGTGTAGCTCAGGTAAAGTCACCAGCTTCCCACCATGGCAGCCTGGGTTTGAACCCAAGTCAGGTCATGTGGGATTTGAGATGAACAAAGTGGCACTGGAGCAATTTTTGCTGAGTACTTTGGTTTTCCGTGTCAATTCTCATTCCACCAACTGCTCCACACTTATCATCTGACATCTGGGTCTGGTACAGTAGTACGTACAAATAGTTGCCGACGTATTAAGTGGTCTCACCCCACCCCAAGAAACTAAAGTAAAAGCTAACATCACTTGCTCTTTATTATATATAAAAATACATAAATTTGTGTAACTGCCCTCCCCACAATATTGAAACTGCTGATCCATGGGGATTAATGAGAGAAATCCAGCACATATACCCTTGTTGGTGCCTGAATATGCGAGTAGTCTGAACTTTGCTTCTGCTGATGATTATGGTCTTAGAGTATGTGGCTCCCCTCCCTGCTTAGGAGTCGCAACTCTTAGCTTAAGAAATCATAATTTTATGCTTTTTTTTCCAGTCCTAGCACTTTGTTCAAGGATTGCCAGACTGTTCATAAAAATTAAAATGGCCACTAAGTCATTTTACAAAGAAGTCCTAGAAAAAGAAACACATGGCATCAGTATTGTGTTTTACTCAACTGATCACTACCTTTGACTCTTGTAATATGCGACACGTATGTAAGGCACGTGGGAATAACTTTTTCAGTTCGGAATGAAATCGAGGCAAAAATTTGGAAAGCTTTTGAGAATGAGCATTTTTTCTGCTAGACCAATTTTTTTCCAATGTAATAGTTTATAGCATTGGCCACATTTTCACAGTGCTCTAAGTGTACTACCATATTTACCTGAATGGAAAATAACCTTGCACTATAAACGTGTGAGAGAACATTAATACTGGGAACCATGGTATACATGAAATGTATTGAGTTAGTTTCCTCTGTTCATGATTACTATTGCCTGTCTGAGCTTCATTGTCTTCACAGTTTCCATTTTGTCTCATATTCACTACATAACACACTCATTCAGAACTCTTTCAGACTGCCATCCATTTCATCAGATATACAACACTTTTAAATCCTCAGAATAACATTTGTGAAGAGATGGTGCCACAGTCTTGATCACAGGCACAGTGGTTTTATGCTGGGTTGCTGTATTGTCCGTTTGGTTTCAGAATGTGTTACCCTACAAAGAGCCATTTGGAATACAGTTATTTAAAATGTTTGATGAAAGGTATATTGTACTAGAATGTGTAATTATAAATTCATCCCCAGATTTTCTGCGAAGTAGTGGGTCTGGAATGGGGTCCACTCAGCCTCATGATGACAATTGAGGAGCTATTCCAAGAAAATGGCGGTTCTAGTCTAGAAAACCGAGATTAACGGCCATGGTGATCCATTGCGTTGACCATGTGACACCCTCTATCTGCAAAAGTTGGCACTAACTTCACCGACAAGCGGCAGCTGCTCTGTCGGTATAGTTTGCTTGTGGACTGCAGAGCACGGATTTTGTTTTCGTTTGTTCCCTCCAGGTATGGCAGTGTGAATCACAGACCTGGCATCTGGTGTTAAAAGTGTTCTTCAGTTGCATCTGACACAAGCATCCCTTGTTTTTTCGACAGTGCTCATGGTCTTCTGTTCCATGCAACCTGTAAGCATTCCCCCATTAGTTTGTTTAGTTACCAGTCCCATGGACACGTGATTATTAGCCCCATGAGCAGCTGAATCTTAAACACAGTTCTTTCAGATAAGTGTCTGCCACCATGGTCAACATTGCAGTCATTTGTAGCGATTTGTTGCGTAATATTTTTATAACAGATTTTGCACCTACATCGTTGATGGTATAATTGGATGGCATTAAAATACACTAGCATTTTCTTGAAAATGGCCAAAAACTTGGCCCTCTGTCATTTCTGCACACTATTCAGAGCTGGATTTAAAATTTCAGGCCTGTCATTGAGTAATGGTGTTGCACGAGACCGACATTCTGTCCTATCTTGAATCCATACCAAGTGAAGTCTTCGCATAGAATTGGCAACTTTGGTTACTGTTGTTTTCGCCTTCAGAGATTTGCTGTGGAAGATGCAGTATTTTCTTGCCATTTCACACTTGTTTCTTCGTTCTGCATGTTTAAGCTGTGTAGTCTTGAAGTATGAACCGTAACTGCAGAGCTTGACACTTTTTGACATGGTATTCCGTAATACTTCTTTTCTTGACTTGATGTGCCATTTTTATATTGAGTGACACATTAGGACAGTGTCTCATGATATAAGTCAGTGAATTACCTTTTTTGTTTCATAACTTTGGTTGTATTCAGGTAACCTGAAAGCAGTTCATGGCTTCTGGCTTTGAAACACATTTGTCTCTCACTTGATACTGTTACATAGTACAGTAGTGGGAATAAGTGATCCTTGGTATGTTCTGTGCTTTGAACAAGCTAAAAGCTTAAAACAGATTAAAAAAAGTCTTTATATATATTTCAACTTCATCATGAAGACCCGTAGATTTGTAACCTATGAAGGGGAGAACTTAGCTTCTATTTTTGCAAGTATCATGATCCATTTTGACATTGACCCCCAAGAGTGAGGCAAAAATACTGATCAGAAAATTCATAGAATTCAAGAATGAGAAATTTATGTTCAAATTTAGATCAAGAATTTTTCTTGGTTCAGTCCCAAAATCTTGGAGACCCACACATGCCTAATACATGTTGTTTATGTGCTTAAAAGTGTCTGTATTTCCATGGAAGTTTGGCTCAGTAGGACCACTTGACTTGTATTCAGTCTCAACCAGAACACCAGCTCCCTACTGCAAATTTTCATGGTTTCCCCAGTTCAAGAGATTACCTAAACAAGTTGATCCATTCCTTGTGAGGCTTTAGAAGCAGGAACTTGAATGTTGTTGTAATGCCACTCAGGTCCTGGGGCCCGGAATACAACAATCCCAGGCCTCCTTGGCGCTGGACTTCCTAAGCTCACTCAAGAGCAGCAGGAGGCAGTAACCCGTGCCAAGAAGTATGCCATGGAACAGAGCATTAAGATGGTGCTTATGAAACAGACACTTGCACATCAGCAGCTGGTGAGTTTTGTCTTTGTGCTAATACATTTCAATGAGACTGTGAAACAGGCTCTCAACCCTTCATGGGCAGTTGCAGAATAATCTGCATGATAAAGTGTAATCTACTAGGTAGCTGTCAGATACGACCACAAATTCATATTTACCAGTGTTATTAAATTAAGTTCACAAATGTGACAGTAATAGTTCGTGATGTCTCTTTAGCCCTACTTCTTCAGGAGAATTGTATTTTAATAGTGTGGACACCTGGTCAGAGAATATTTCCTTTTTGGCAGTTGTCAGCTCATGGTGCTGAGTGGCTTTGTTTACTGGTAGATGAGCAAGCATGGCTACATGTGTAAATACAAGAGCTATTCAGAAAGTAACCTCCCATGAGCATTTAATAGAACAAGCAATAAGAGAAAAAAATTATTACATATAAAAAATACATACATAAGCTACTTCTCAACATAGGCATCGCGAATAAGTTTTTGTATGCCTGTATCAAAGAAGTTCTTCTGCCTCTGAGCTCAGCCACGTTTTGACACCTTCCATCAACTCTTCATTATTGTTGCAGAGCTGTGATCCCAACCAGTTCTTCGGGTAGGCAAACAGGTGGTAGTTGCTTGGAGCAAGAGCAGGGCTCTGAGGAAGGTGGTCAAACAACTCCCAGTTGAAATGCTCCAGCAGTGCTCAAGTGTGAGCAGCTGTATGCGAGCTTGTGTTGGCATGAAGGAGCAGTGCACTGGTTATCAGTATTCCATACCTTTTGTTCTGAATGGCTGACCCTATGCCATTTCATTAGTGTTTCACAATACACTTCTGATGTTATTGTGGTACCTTATTGCATGAATTCCACCATCAGCACTCCTGTCCAAGAAAACAGTTGCCATCAGCTTTCTGGCAGACATTTTTTAAAATTTTTGGCTTGTTTGGTGAATGTGTGTGCATCCACAGTTTTAACTGCTCTTTGGTTTCAGCTTTAAAAATTAAACCCAGGTTTCTTCATTTCTTCACCTGTTACCCATACAAGTGATTGAGGTATTCATCCCCATCTTTGTGGTATTGCTCAAAAAAAAAAAAAAGTAAAGCTGAAGCCATTCTCTGCATTTTGTGCACACGAATGAGCATTTGTGGAATCCATCTTTCCCAAAACTTGCGATAGCCTAGCGTGTATTAATCTCTTAGAGAACAGTGCATCAGATTTGTGGAAGTTTGCGTGAAACTTCTGAAAGTCTTTCACAAATTTTGCAGGACACGTCATAACTCTGTAGAGACAAGAAAAACACTAAGGGACCAGTTATGTGATTGTTTACTAGGCAGTGAGTCATGTGGCTCTACCTCGCATGCATTAGTTGCCTAAAATAAACAGAGGTTACTTCCTGAATAGCCTTTTACTAGTGAGAGTGTTGGAGACTGTTTAAGTGCTGGGAGTGAAACTGGTACTGAGACACCGTCTGGTCGTGCTGAAAATGATGATGAATATTCAGACTTGATTCTACATGTAACAGCAGTAAAGGTTTAAAGAATGTTAGTGATGGTGATAGAGGGGATACATAAGGGGCTTCAGTGACTGGCCAGTGGGCCTTTGCTGCCTCTGCCTCATGTTGAGAAACTAAACGCACAGAATATTTTCAGCTTTCTTTTTTCTTAATTTTCTGCATATTGTCAGAAATATTTAGGGGTTGCCATCAACCATGAGAATAAGGTTGAGTGAGTGAGCTGTACTGTTTCCTTTACCATAAGTATGGAGCAGAGGCTATTTTCAACCTGATGGGTTGCTTGTATTCCATTTTTAGTAATATTTTTGTTATTATTTTGAAATTTGTTTTGCCCGTGATGGCAGTGAAAACAGGATGAGAGATTTTTAAAGAGATTGTATTCACATCTGATTCTAAAATAAGGGTAGATGAAAGTAAAGTGGCCTTGGTAGCTTTCAAGATGTACAACAAAGTGAAACCAAAATTTTGCATCAGAATTTTTCATTGTGAGAATTCTAGAAAGGCTGTGTGTGATTTTATAATGTATACTGGGGGGGTGGATGCAATCCCTAATAGCAGCCCACAGAAGAATGCACGGCAGCAAAACTGGTGATGGATACACACAATCAGTATAGCTATTAGCATGTGCTGTGATGGGTATTACAGCAGTCCAGAGCTTTTGAAGGGATTGTTGAAACCAATGATGTGTATCACTAGGAGTGTCAGTCCTTCTTGAAATGAAATGCTGCTGGTGTTGGCTAAGAAGGATTATAAGAAAATGAAAATATGGAAAGATAAAAAGATGCAGTAACAAATATACCATCAAAATATGCCACCAACCCAAAAGCCAAATGTCTATGGACTGCAGAGAAGCACATGGATGAAACGGATAGAACTGGCCACCAGTTTGTCAGATTATGAGGTAGATGAGAAAAGGGATATAGGAAGATGTTCTTTTGGATCCTTGGTAGCAGTTGTTAACTCATAGTTACTACACTCATCCTTTGAGGAGCAACATCGCAACCAGTGTAAACACTTCAGACAGTCTTGTTGAGGCAGTAGTACATGAACAGGTGACTGCAGGAGGCATGAGGAAGAGGAAGTGTGAAAAGTCATACAAATGACCACCAGAGAAATGGCTAAACTGGAAACAGTGAGTCTTCAAGAAAGAGGAAGAGGTTCAGTGATGTGTGTTGTATGCTGCAAAGGAACTAAGAAAGGATAAATTTAATTTCTTTACATGCATATAGAAAGCATTGAATCATACATTATTCCTACTGTAAAAAGTATATGAAAATTTGTATTTTTAGACCCAAGAATATCAGCCATGATACGCCTACTCGATGGAAAATAATGGTTAATAACTGATAATGTGCCATGTAACCCACCATACAGCAGGAGCACTTATTTTCAACCATCGATTTGTCATGGGTTTGATGTCTCTTGATTTCACTTAAACTTCTGCTGCTAAGCCACACTTTTCTGCTGTGTTACTTTCCAGTTATGCTGTTGAAATTATTGCAGTTGAGAGACTGATATGGAGGACTATTAACATGTTTAACATAATTGCTTGCAGCGAGAAAAGAAAGGGTGCTATTTAAAAGTGAACATGATAATTTTGCAGTGCATAGTGAAACCAGCAAGATTAATTGTGAATACATTCTAGCATGTAACCTTACCTGGACAGTGTTGTCACATCATTACTGGAGAATGATGGCTTGTCTAAATTACGAAAAATGAACACAGTACTCTGCATTTTCTGAGGATTTTAAGTCCATTGGTCATACAGTATATTTGTGCTGTGACTATTCCTGCTGGGGAAACTGTGCAGTAGTTAATGTGCAACCATGTAAGTGCTGTTAACTTATTGTTCAGATGATTAAGTCAGCAGGGGTTTAAGATGAACAAATCACATAGCATGCATTGAGAAAACAAATGCAATTTAAGTGGTTTGAAATCCTGAAGGAGGATTCCCTTTTGTCACTCAGATACAATGTTTAGCAAAAGCCATGTGTGTATTTTGGCATTGTAATTCATTCTCAGTTTAGAGAGAGAGAGGAATCATCCTTGTTCATTAGTATGTAAGATATTAATAAAATATTGGTAGTAGTTAAATTTGAATATGTATCTTACTAGCAGTTATTTTGGTTGAGGAGAATGGATTTCTGCAAATGACACTAGAGCTGTCCCCTAACAAGGCAACAGTTGCATTCCCAAGTGTGAACTTATTTGCTTACAGTTATAGCACACCTTTTGTTTTGCTGTGTTTAATTGTAATATTAATTTTAATATTCATTTGAACCATTTGCAATTTTTTTTTTCTGTTTTTAGGTAGATAATTTAATCATCATTCAGTGTTTGCCCCCCAAAAATTAAATACAGAACGTGAAATCCGTGTAACTTTGGATGCATAAAAATTATCTGTAGATGCTTCATTTTTACTGAATTATAAGTTGGGAATGGTGTGAAAGTTTTATGCTATAATTTATTTGTTCTCAAATTTGATCACTCCAGGAACGCCTGTCTTACTGGAGATTTGAGTATAAGAGGCCCCATCTAAAATGAAGTATTTTGCTTGAGAACTTCCTTCTGTCCTTCCTGTTGTAGGCACACTGCTAAACATTGTGTGGTGTACCACAAATTGTTTCTCAGCTATGAAGGAATAACAGAAGTGGCGGTATACAGCTGAGCTTAGACTGCCGCTAATGTAATTGTTTCATGTGAATTTGCTTCATTGGTATAGTAAATATATTATTATACAGCTTTCTGGTGAATCCACTGAAGAAAGGACAATTTGGGTACCATTCATGTAATAGATACTGCTTATTTACAGCAAAGTTGTACTGCATTTGGATAAACATAAACTTGTACAGTGGAATAGCTATTTAATGCTTCTGGTTTTCAGTTTTCTTTCATTTAATGTTCAGTTTCAGTGATCCCAAGTCAAAAATCTCATTGTTAAATTTTCTTCATGTAAAGTTTTCAAATCCATGGTCCGCAAAGAAGCCTTAAATGGGGATTCCACTGTATTATGCAGAAGCATGAACATGCTACCAATTTTAACACATTTATGGCAGGAGGGCATTTTCCGGCTAGTGAAAACAATGCTATAGCCATTAGTAGCAAATAAAGTATTTTTGTGCCATGCCAGCTTGAAAACTTGTGGTTCATTTCTTCATAGATATAATGGCAGACATTATTACAATATGTTAAACAAGAATCAGTGGAAACAAAATTTAAGTGAGACAAGATTTCAGTACTTCAGGAGCTGTTAGGAAAGCAACTGAGGAGTGCTCAAAGAATTGTTTCAGTTGGTATCTTTCTTTCCAAGACTGTATATACAAGGGTTGGACAAACTAATGGAAACACTACAGATACTGTATATATTTCTTTATTAATATGGTGTTGGACCATCTTTTGCCTTCAGTACAGCCGCAGTCCTTTTTGGAATGGACTCGTACAAGTTTTGAACGGTCTCTAGTGGAATTTTGTGCCGTTCTTCATGAATAACATCTTCAAGTTGCTTTAGAGATGCTGGAGATGGGAAACTGTTCCTCATTCTAAGCCTTCAAAACTGACCAGAGTGGTTCACTGATGATGATCAGATCTAATGATTGTGCTGGCCAGAGATGTTGAAGTTCACCTTCATGCTTTCCAAACCATGACCGAACAGTTCTAGCTGTGAATGGGAGCATTGGTGTCTTGGAAAAGTGAATCGTTGATCGGAAATGTCTAGATCATGGGATGCACGTGGTTACCCAACCTATCCATGTATTTCCTTGCAGTAATTTGGGCATGAAGGGTAATAATGGGGCCAAGGGAATGCCATGCTATTGCAGCCCAAACTGGCACAGAATCTCCTTTGTGTTTCACTGTTGGAACCAGACATACCAGGTTGTAGCCTTTTTTTTGGGGGGGGGGGCTGTTCTCCAAAACTTTTCTTGGTGTAGGGAACAGCTTGAAGAATGACTCGCCTGCCCATGTCATACACGTGTTTGCATTTGTCTGATGTCCAGGTTTATGGCTGTGACACCATCATTTATGCATCTGAACATTACTTTCAGTAATCAGAGGTTTAGCAATGGCAGGTGTACTATGGCTGTTGGATGTGACAAGCTCATGTTGGGCACTTTTTATGGAAACGGTCTTCAAGATCTGTTCATTTCTGCTGTCACCTGTGCTGCAATAGTTGTGTGATTTTTCAAAACAATCTTTCTCAGTCTATTACTGTCTTTTTCTGTCAATTTTTGCCCACTGTTCCTCTTTGCTGATGATGTCTTCCAATGATTCATATATGCCAATATAACCTTAGAAACTGTCACTCTTGATACCCCTAATAATGTGTCAGCTTTTGTTGCAGATGCTCCATCTAAGCGCGCACCAACAATCTGTCCTCTTTCAAAATTGGACAGGTCTTCCATTTTCCAATTCTTTGAAGGGACTATCAACACAATCAATAATGCATTGACATGAGCACTGTAGAGTGTAAAGAGACAAAGAAGAACATTCAGTGTTGCCAACTGAAGTTCTTTCAGTGTGGCCAGTGCAAACAAATTCTGTTCCTCAATTTCTTAGTATTTCCATTACTTCATTTACCCCCTGTATGTAGGAATGTGAACAGAATATATCAGTAATGATTATGTTGGTTTAACTTTTATTGTCTAGGAACATGGGTTTTAAATCTACTTGCACCAGAAGGGTGGTGGCCATACTTTACTTGGGGAGTAGCTGTTTATCAGTGGGGGAAAGAGGATTTAAAATCTCCTGCTCAAGATGTCTGGTGACTGGCTGGAATTTGTAATGCACAAACCCTCAAAGGGTTTACAAGTCTGATATAGGTTTAAGAATGGTTCATACAGCATATTTTGCAAAAAATGCCCTCTTGTGCACATAGGCGGGTATCTGGCTCCCTATGTGTGAATGTGATAAAATATATTCTTTTCCAGGAAGAATGTGTGTGTTTACATATTTTAAAGTTTCAAATAATAAATATTTGTTTTTCTTTTCATTGTCGTGTTGTTCTCCAGCAAGCTAAGTCGTTCCAGCGGCATCAAGCCATAGCGTTGATGTGCAGGTTAGTGTTCCTCGTATCTGTACATTTAGTGGGTGGAGATGTTGTTGTATGTCCTGTTCCCAGGTGGGATGCTGGTAGCTGGCGGGCCAGATGGGGCCTCAAGGTGAAGTATTGTTGTGTCTGTCTGTTTCCCACATTGAGGAGCAAAAACCAAAAGGGTGACACTTGTCTCTTGTTGCAGCAAATGGCTAGTCAAAGGAGTCAGGTTCAAAGACAACAGGCCCTCGCCCTCATGTGCAGGTTAGCAGACTCACAAAACTTCCATCTTAACAGTTCCTCACATGTCACAGCTTCAGCATGTATGTGTGAATGTGGTGGCTCATGTCCTTGAATGCTGTCTCTAGTTTTGTTTGTGTAAGAAGCAGAAATGTAAAATCAGAGTTTTACTTTTCACAGATATGTGTGATATATATGTACCTCAGATATTTTGTTGCCATCTGTACTGTCCATGCTGAAAGAAAAGAAAGAAAGCCTCAGGTTACCTCCACAATTTAGCCTAATATGGGGTCAGTGTATGCATGTGATCTGGCAGTATTCATGAAAGGAAGTTTTTTTGTGCACAAAAGATATTATTTATTTAATTGTATTCAGTGTGGGTTGGTAGTGTTATGATGCAGCAGTTGGAACCCCAGCTTCATATTTTGGAGGTCCCTGGTTGAGATCTTGTTTCAGATACAAAATCCACTGACCTGGAGGTATTTTTGCTTTTCTGCGTCACCCCAAAAATATGTTGGGACTGTGTCGTGAAATACAAGAGACCACTTCTTATGTATCCATTACCACCCTGTCAAATTTGTTTCATTACTTTGTAATGTATAGTAGCAATAATATGATCAGTTTTATCTTAAAACTCAGTTTAATAATATGGCAGTCCTACTGTTATAACTTTACCAAATAACAGATAAAGAAAAGCATTATAGAAATATAGGAAGGCCATGCTTTTTCTGTTTTTGCTGGATCTCTTTACCAATTGCTGTAAAGCTGGGATTACCAGGTTGCTTAATAAAATTTAAATAATGCCATAAAATATACATTAGTGCCTCAGATAATAAAAAATAATTGAAAATATAATACTCTGCATGAGTGTGACATTTCTAACATATATATATATATATACACACACAGTAGGAAGACATACTTGGACATTTTGCAGATTGAATCATGGTAGTCACAACAGAATTTACTTTGTCAGTTCATTCACTTGTGAGGAAAAGTTTAATGTTTTGTTCCCCCCCCCCAATTCTTTATTTTCTTTTCTGTGGGCAATATAATGTGAAATTGGTTTGTGACTGAGCTCTCACAGTGTAGTGAGGTGTCAATAAAATATGGTCTAACAAAGGGTTTATTGATTTTTGGAACTGTATATTGTTGTACAGGTTAGCATCATAATAATGAAGCCAGTGGTTGGCTGACTAGATACAAAACATTTTATAAGTGTAGTAAACCCATAGTTCTTTCTTCAGGGTTATAACGCTCTGTAGTTTGTTGAAAGACAGCCATTTCAGAGGATTTTGTTGTCTCCATCTTGGGTGTTGAAGAATAAACCAAGCAAGAAACCAGTAGGCAGCAAGTGGTGCTTGTTGTGCTTGCTGCCCCTTAAACCCGGAAGGAGGTGATCTGTTTCTCAGAAACATCAGTTGACTTTCAACAGACTATACAGCATTGTATTCCAGAAGGTAGAAGTCATCATGACCACTGATGGGAGGACCTTAAATCCTATGTAGTAAAGTAAGTCAGGATATAGTTGAGCAAGGTAAAGCTCTCGTGAAAGATGTCTGATAACTATGTTCTGTTGAATTTATAATCCTTTTTATTTCTAACCACATGTAATGAAACAAAGCACAGTTGTACTAGGAGGTGAGCTTTTTAGTCATAGACTCTTCGTAAGTCATGTATACTGCTGCATTTTAAATTAATTCCTTGTGACTAGTTCTAAACTTTTAACTTCAGAATCCCATTGTCCTCCAAAAATTTTGATGGAACTCTGAATGCAGGTAAAAAGCATAGGGTTACAAAAGCAACATACGAGTTTTTGATTGCCTATGAAAGTACAGTATTATGAAATTAGTAGGAGGTAAATTTTTCTTTTTCTAATAAATTCACTATATTCACTTAAAGGGCTTAAAAGTGAAACATGGAAGTATCTATAATTGTTGAAAAATGAACAGATTAGAATTTAACAGTTTTCTATAACCAACAAGATCCTACCAGTGAAAACAGGTTTCACACCATGTATATTTTTATACAGGGAGGCAATTTGGTGGCTGTGGTAGGGTGGCCCTACAGCATCAGTTGCTGTGTTTTCTCCTTGGTGAACTGTGACAGAGTGAGTTCGCTGAAATGTAGATTACTGGCTTCTTAGCATATGTGCCATATATATATCAGAATTAATTTTATATGCATGAAACACATGATCCATAATCCACCTCATACTTAGAGTGCACCAAGCATTAACATGTAATTACAGGGTGAAACTCCATGTGTATGATGTTTAATTCCTATATTGGAATATGGGTTTTGTGTTCACGTGTCTAGTCAAATGAAACCAAGCCTTGGTTGAGAAGGTTGTCACTCAGAATCCATTATGAACTGATCCCAGTTATTGAAACTGATGGATCACATGGTTCAAAAGAGTTAAAAAGTTGGGTCATGTGAGGCAAGCTGCAATATTGTCCAACTTATTTGTGTTAATAGTCAGTGTTTATTGATAGGATTTTGAATAATGTTTCTGTGGGGAACTAGAACCCTGTGAGAACATTTTTCTGACACTCCCAGGCAAAGTACACTTCACAAAATCATATAAAACAGTCAGTGCTCTAGTGTAGACTTTTCTGTGTCCAATACAGAGTGAATCTTATTTTAAACACAGTAAAAATGATTGAATCTGGTGCTTTGCAGTGCCACAGTTATGCACCTCTTTCAGCCACGTGATCCAATAATTTCTATAGTTTATATCTTCACAGTAGGGACCATAATCCCAAGTTGACATATTTTCTTGGTGTTACTTGAATATGCAACAGAACACAAAATATGTTATACTAGACAAGATGATTGGTGCACCATGAGTGCTGTTAGGATACTAGACAAGATGATTGGTGCACCATGAGTGCTGTTAGGATTTTGGGTGCTTTGATTTATGCAGATACAGTTATTTCTAGAAATACATAAGGTAGATGCTGTAGATGGGCTAGTAACTTCACCCTGTGACGTACCTGTAGTCTCACTATCACTGCAGCTGACCGAGTTGGAAAGATGTTTGCTGATGCAGTGTACATGCATAGCAGAATAACTGTGTCCTGTCACAGCCACCAGATACGCTAGCTGTTGTTCAGTGTGTGACTCACAGAATGAACAGATTTTTTTAATGTATGTAAGTGTTGGATACAGCATTATGGACATGAGCTTGAAGATTAGTGTGGAAAAGAAAAATATAAAAACATGTAGATGTTTTTGCAAAGGCTCTTCACAGGAAGACTGTGTTTCCTCACGTAATGATAATATTTCTAATTGGTATTTGTAGCTCGATATAAACACAAGGCATTATGTGCTGATAAAAAAATGGAAGCTTTGTAAAAATAGTTATACACAAAATGTAGAGCAGTAACAATTTTCCAAAGTAATCATTAACAGTTTTGATGTTTTATGTATCTGTCAGACCTCTGATCTCATTTTTACTGTCTTAAACGATTAAACTCAGCCCCAGACAGCTCATTCATCATAATCACTGTCTTCATTATGTGATGCGGTATCATAGGAATTTTGCAAACATATGTGGTAACTTTCATATATTTTACTGCATCTATCAACCCAAAAAAATTACAGAAAAAACAGACCGAAATTAGTTCTACTCAGTAGCCAAAAGTAAAAGTATGTGACAAGTACTTAGCATGTGAAAAATATATGCATCGTAGCCAAAGCAAAGGATCGGCTGTTTAAACATTAAATGTGATTTATGTATTTCATTTAGACATGTTTAAATACATTGATAAATCAAAGTTTGACATTCTAATATTGCCTGGGCCCTGTACTATTTGTAGTTCTTTAAGTATACTCAACTCTCGATTATCCGGGATAATGGTGGGGATGGAAATCATGATTAATCGAAAACCCAGTTAAGACAAATTTTATTAAAAGTAAGACTGTAATACTGTACCTTCATAATACTATAGGCCTACCTGTATTTAAATTTATTCAACTTCATTTTTATGTTATCTCATGGCCTATTTAATACTTTCTTTAATTACACTGGAGTATGAATTAGTTATTTCAATTACAGTGTTAAACAACATCCAACACTTTTTACGAATATTAACACTTAAACAAATGTAATATTTTCATTTGCTTTTTTGCGGCATTTTCCTTTTTACGGATATCCGTACGAAGCCTACGTAATATTAGCTTGTCACTTAATAAACTGTTCTCTTCACTCTCAAGATAGTCTAGTAAGGATTCCAAATGATTAAGAGCAGCACCATGTGATATTTTCTTACTAGCAGCACTGTCCACCTCTTCCTCATTCTCACTTCCCGCTCTTCTGGCTGCACCCCCACTGAACTTACGATTTCATCACTGCTTAACATTTCAAAGCCCGGCTCACACGAGTCGCAGTCAAACCACTCTCTTATAATTTCCTCATTGACTTCTTCTTCACCATGAACTTGGTTAGCCAGTTTTGTCAATTCTATGGCTATCTCATTTTCAGTGAATCCATAGATTTCGTCATCTTCATTAGTGATGAAAGGCATCAGTTTCTTCCATGAATTTTTCAATACAGATGGCTTTACTGTATCCCACGCTGTTGAAATCTCGTATATGGCATATGTGCTTGTTTAGCACAAACTGCTCCTGTTGTTGTTCCCTGTGCCCTTAATTGATTAAACCAGGTCAGCATTGCTGTGTTGAGATCATCATATGTTGATTTTTTCATGTTTTTTCTCCTTCATTCCGCTTGAATTAGAAGACGAAGCAAAGGAAATGAATTGATTCTTTTGTTTTTTCAAATCATGAACAGTTTGTTCTCCAGTACCGTATTGCATTGCTAATTGTTTTAACTAAACCTCTTTTTCCCAGCTGATTGATAATTTCAAGTTTTTGTTGAATACTTAACACAACATGCTTCCTTTTACACCCCGACATTTTGCTAATGCAATTGAAGATTGATACAAAGAGACTAACTGGAGTGGTGTATCTGTCCTTGAAACTTTCCACAAATCCTTGCATTCTTTCACCCCTACCCTAGA